AGTACATTCTGTAATATATTCATAAACACACTAACTACAGTACCTTCTGTAATATATTCATAAACACACTAACTACAGTACCTTCTGCAATATATTTATAAACACACTAACTACAGTACCTTCTGCAATATATTTATAAACACACAAACTACAGTACCTTCTGTTATATATTTATAAACACACTAACTACAGTACCTTCTGTTATATATTTATAAACACACTAACTACAGTACTTTCTGCAATATATTTATAAACACACTAACTACAGTACCTTCAGCAATATAGTTATAAACACACTAACTACAGTACCTTCTGTTATATATTTATAAACACACTACCTACAGTACATTCTGTAATATATTCAAACACACTAACTACAGTACATTCTGTAATATATTCATAAACACAATAACTACAGTACCTTCTGTTATATATTTATAAACACACTACCTACAGTACATTCTGTAATATATTCAAACACACTAACTACAGTATCTTCTGTAATATATTTATAAACACACTAACTACAGTACCTTCCAGATTTTCTTTAAAAAAAGACTTTTTAAGTAAAGGATTATCTGAATTTTATGATTTTATGAATCATTCCAATGTTTCTTAAATTATCATAATTAAATTAACTATCCTCAATCTTTGGCAAAATACATAGCAGTTTTAATACTAAATCTTTAATGTACCTCAAGTCTTGTGAAGAATCATGTTTCAGACACATTTTTTTTTGCTAATAAATTTAGAATACATTATTAAGATACAAGCAGCCACAGGATATAAAGAAAGCTTCAGCCCATCAGGTTTAAATGTGTAGAAAGATCTTGCTACATTTTTATACTATTAGTTAGAGTTATTATTTCACTGGTTTCAACACAGCAATTGAAACTTTTAAGACATTAGTGACATATCTAAAGTAATGGTTAAGTTCAAAGAGCATGCAATATGAATGAAATGTTAAAAACTTTGTCATATCACTTAGTAACTAAAGTGCTTCTCCTGCACCACAACACATACGTCCTGACATCATAACTGGTATCTATAACTAAAGATACTTACCCATAGGTCCCATTGGACCCATACCCATTGGATGCATGGGTCCCATCATGGGACCACCTGGGATGTATTGCATTCCCTGCATGGGTCCTCTCATCATTGAGGGCATGTGAGGCATCATTCCCCCTTGAGGCACACTGGGTAGAGCCACAGCAGGCTGGTTAAAGCCAGTGTTTTGAGTTCTACTCGAGTCAGAGTCATTGCCATCATCACTTACAATCACTGAAAAGGTTGTTGATTCATGTCTTTATCAAGTGGTTTAAGTTAAGAACAAACCAATAACTAAAGATCACTGATCAGAGTTAGCATTCAAGTAGTATCTCATTAAACTACACATTTCAAATCCAGAATACTGAGTTTTTCTACTACTTTTTAACAGAAAAGTATCTTCATAAATTAATTCATGACAAAATTATCTAACCAATACAAGTTAAGATGGATTAAAATATGGGGTCATAGGTGAAGAGACCTATGTGAGCATAATGATGCAAAATAACATAGTACTATGAATATTACTGAGAGACAAAGTGGACTATTTAAAATGTGTTTTCATGTAAATGATTTTATTTTATTCTTTTCACATGTTCTATAATGTATGAAACAAATTTCATCTAGTAATATCTTTTCTTGTACACAACAAAACACTGAACCGTGTGGTTTCTGTTGATCCTATTCACCTGAAATTGATATAATTTTTTTTTTCTGTGTGTTTCAAAAAGATACAACATGAATGCCAATCCTAACCTAAACTTTTGGTCACTGACCATTCCAGTCTTCCTCTAACAGAATGGTGAGAACATTAACATGTTAAATTAATAGTAAACGTAGTTACAATTGTACAAGTCTAACAGTTAACATAGCTACAGTTGTACAGGTCTAGCAGTTAACAAAGCTACAGTTGTACAAGTCTAGCAGTTAACAAAGCTACAGTTGTACAGGTCTAGCGGTTAACAAAGCTACAGTTGTACAAGTCTAGCGGTTAACAAAGCTACAATTGTACATGTCTAGCGGTTAACAAAGCTACAATTGTACATGTCTAGCGGTTACCAAATCTACAGTTGTACAAGTCTAGCGGTCAAAACAGCTACAGTTGTACAAGTCTAGCGGTTAACACAGCTACAGTTGTACAAGTCTAGCGGTTAACACAGCTACAGTTGTACAAGTCTAGCGGTTAACATAGCTACAGTTGTACAAGTCTAGCAGTTAACATAGCTACAGTTGTACAAGTATAGATCTAACAGTTAATATAGCTACAGTTGTACAAGTATAGATCTAACAGTTAACATAGCTACAGTTGTAGATGTATAGATACATATAGATGTATAGCGAACACAGTTGTAGTTGTACAAGTGTAGATCTATAGCCATAAATCAAATTACAGACAGAAAAGACTGATAGCTCAATATAATACAGCATACTAATTTTTAGAAAATATTATAGTTTATATAGTATGTGCTCCACCATATGTATATATCAATCCACAATTTTAACTGTCTTTATTATAAAGTTCCCTGTCAAATATCAAAAATTGAAAGAACTGAATTTCTTAAACTAGTAAAACAAAGAAAACAGCATTACACTTCACGAACAACCAGGAAAAATATAAACTTAGGCAAAACTTTAGAGATGCATTTATTGTTTTTAACATATTAGACTTGTGAAAGACAAGTTTAGACTGCAGAACTAATCTTTAAAAAACAACAAAACAGTGCACTACTGTTTAGAAACAGATTAATAAATAAAACGTGTATATAATAAACAAAAACTGTGCTCTCTTTCTTTGTCAGAAATGAACACAAGTAAAAGTATTCTAAAGTTAATGATTATTCAAAGAATAGGGTCATTTACATTGTTTTGGAAACAATGATAAAGTTTCCCATGCTAGCACTGTAGAGCATTTTTATCCCAGCAATCATGCTCTATCTATCTGAAATTAAAGAAATAAGAAGAAGAAGTAAAAAGGAGAGAATTAGAGCTGCCAGTAGTCAGCAAGAGAAGACAGGGAAGGCTTTGGAAGGATGGGATTAACCCTCTCGCTACAGGTCTTCTTATGTTCAGGGGCCAAAGAGCATGGCATCACATTTGTGGACTTGTATTCAAAATTTTATTGAACCACTATTTTATGAATGTATGTCAATAAGTTTGGTATCAAATTGTAGATTATAATTGAAATTTTAGTATTGTACATTATGTATATATAGATTTTTGTGTGTCATGTGGTATGTTAAATGTGGTACTTGTTCAAATTAGATGTTTGTGATGTCCAAATACAAAATCTATAGTTTCTTACAAATTAAATACTAAGGTTACCTATATTGACAAGCTAGAATATAAAATAAGAACCTCCTTTCTTTTCTATTTGCAAATTTAGCAAATAAAACAAAGTGGCCCCCACCCACTTCTTCCATTTTTGGAAATATTTCCTTACATACACCCACTTCACTCTCTCATGGGTTTATAACCAGTCAAAAACTAAGAATTTTCCCCACGTGGTTTTCTCTAAGAGTCAGAAGTTCCCAAGATTATTTCTTTTGTGCCTTAGCTTTAAAGGAAGAGATAATAAAATGTTGTTCAAAATATCATATTTTCTTAGACCCAATTAAAGATTAGTTACTAAGCCTGATAAATTATAGTGGATTTCTATGGTATCACTATAGTCATTTATGATATTTTGTTATTTCAAAATGTATACACAAAACCTAAAAAAGTTATTTTGTTTTACATCCTTCACGTGTGCAATTTGACAAGGCTTAGCAAATTATGGCAAGCAGCAAACGAGTACAAAGTTAGTATATATATACACACATGTATATAACCGAAATGTGATTCTATTTTACAAAATACTGGTCCACTAGAACAAAGCCAAGGTAGGTCACTTTGTAAAGGCCAGTTTATACAACTGAATACAGTGCATGTGTACCCCATCATTGCAACTTCTGTAATGTTAGTCAGACATGTCTTAAAGTTCAATATAAAATAAATATAAATGTATAACGTTAGGAGATTTAAGCTACTTAGACTAAACACATTTATGTTACAATTTGTATTCATTCTAGAATGAAATAGGCATAATTTATATTTATTTCCTAATTTTTTTATGGTGGTTACGAGGTCGGTCACATCAACCAAACCCATACAGAGATAAATAGTGAAAATAACAGATAAAATATAAAAGTTTTTCTGAATGAAAATGTTTGATAACTATCTGCAGATTACAAAGATTTCACATATGAAATTTGACACTTTTCTGATACATAAAAGTATTTTTATTCTTAAAATCAAAATTACTCTGCATGTGTTGGACAGTCAACATTCCAAAAGAAAAAATGCACGATCAAATCATTAATTAAAAAATCTTAAACTTAATAACAAATTCTGATATCTTGTGTACAAAAGCCTTGTAATGTTTACTGATAATTTGCAAAATTTCATGAAGATACGCATACTGTATTAAGTTATAGTATGAAAGCTATAACAAGCACAAAATGATTATGAGGTTGGTCCTTAGAACTGAGCCCATAGTGAGAGAGTTCAATAGGAGATGAATGAGAAGGGAATTGCAGAAGACCTGGGAATGAACAGAGGTGATTGGAGGAAGGCAACACATGCAAAGGACAGTGATCCCAAAAATGAATTCACTGTATATCTTTCCATGAACCAGCTAATGCCTCATTAGGTAAACAACTTTGAAACACCGAATTAAAAATCTACTTTAGCTGCATAATGGACTTCACAAAGTTTTTGACAACCTTTCTCATGTAAACAGACACTGATTCTAAACTGTACTTAGAACTTTAAACCGATAACTTCTCACTTTACTTCCTTCACTTTGTGTATTTCTCAGATTTGTTTTAAAAAAAATCAGTGTCAAAATGGCTAAATTATTGGAGTTTTTGTAACTTTGGATACAACTTTCTTCTAGAGATAAATCCTTCGATCACTAAAAAATGTTTTGAGAAACATTCCTTGTACTCGCAACGCCATCTTTAATAGTCCTGTCATCATGCAAACAATGGCAGATTATTACATTTTCACTGTGGTCAAAGAAAATCATGTCTCATTGAAAGTCAGCAGAAATTTCAATTTTTCACTTGCATAGTGCATATTCTCCAGCTTCCCACAACTGGCCTTTCTCTGTGTAACATGTCTGGAGCTTTCTTAACATTAAACCTTTGGTACCATCCCTGACTATTCTGAGTCAGCATTCTCTTCTTGTAGTGTGGCTTTAAAGCCAGTCTCTCTTTTAACCCTAACACAACCAGTCAGTACCTTTCAGACATCGAGTACACACCTGCATATCAAATTTCACAATTTAAGTAAAAATAACAATTCTAATAATTATTTCTACAATTTGTTCATCAAAACTATTTTAGAATTGTTACTTTGTTACATTTATTTTACTGTAATTCGTAAAGAAAAAACATTTCAAGCATCTCTGCACAGCTCTGAGACTGTAAACAATAGGATTATATTTTCCAGGAAATGATCATCCCTCAGTGATTCTCCATGTATTATTACTTCTTCACCGATTCACCTCAAAGCACGTAATGTGAAAATACACGAATGAAACTGTTTATCAATGACAACTCCCTAATCCAGAAGGATTAATGTAATATGAAAAGACACGAGTGAAACTATGGTTGTCAATGACAACTCCCCAGTCCAGAAGGATTAATGTAATGTGAAAATACACAAGAGAAACTGTGGTTCACAATGACAACTCCCTGGATTAAACACACTGCTGTTTAGTTGTTTCTGCTTTTATGCAGAATGCTAAAGACTCCTACCTTGTATCTTTTGGCTGATTTTCTATCATTGTCATTTTTGGAATGAGTGATCACATGCAACTACAGCCAGCAAGGTTTGATTTTAGATGTGAGCATGGTTCTAGAACCAGGCAACAGTAACTTACTCACATAGGTTTCATTTTAGATCTGAGCATGGTTCAAAAACCAGGGGAACAGTAATTTACTTACAAAGGTTTAATTTTAGATGTGAGCATGGTTTTAGAACCAAGGGGCAGTAATTTCCTTAGGTTTGATTTTAGATGTGAGCATGATTCTAGAACCAGGCAACAGTAACTTACTTATAAAGGCTTGATTTTAGATGTGAGCATGGTTCTAGAACCAAGGGGCAGTAATTTCCTTAGGTTTGATTTTAGATGTGAGCATTGTTCTAGAACTCAGGGGAACAGTAATTTACTTACAAAGATTTGATTGTAG